GCACCTTCAGAACTCAGTGAGGTCCACAGAGGGCCATAATCTGCACCCGGAGACTCAGTTCAGCTATTAGCGATTTAACAGCTGCATACGTTTTTTGTTTTTAAAGCGCCATTAATCTCCAAACAACTCACACAGTCTCCAAAATGTTTACTCTATTTCTCTGAGAAATTGTTTGGGCAAAAACTATTATTTTCCAGCCAGTTTACATTTGCCAGAGAGATAAAAATTGGAGGTGTTGGAGGTGTACGGTTTCCAGCACCAAGCCGTGATAGTGAATGGCCTCTGAAGCGCTGGGATGTGTGTGTTCGGCCGGCTTTCTTGGGATAGACAACAGATATTCTCCACAGAGGATGGCCTGTGCCGCTCGGCATGAATGCACTTCTTCCTCTGCTCATTAGGGTCGAACCATGAGGCTGCTGAGCCACAAATCTGCAGTGGCCTCATCACCTTACCCAGTAATCGATCTCCCCACAGCCACACAATGCAAGACACACACACACACACACACACACAGAACCAGTGAACCAAAGCTTATGTACAGAGGAGCAAGCTGTGCAGAGTCCAGGCAGGGTGTTAGTTGGTAATCATTAACACTGACTCCCTGTTTGCTTTGCCTCTGCCTCAACGATACGTCTGTTAGCTTTTGTACGTGTGTGTGTGTGTGTTGTCAACAACGCCATGTGTCTCGTTGTGCTTTATCAGCCTGTGCCCTTTAATTACACGTCCAATTTCTTCATAGGCATACAGACAGACAAATGCACACACGTCACATCTGTTCACGCCCGTAGCTTCGTTCCTTCCAGAGCTACAGTTTTGCTGCAGACTTCCTGACCTCTCGCTGCTCACAGATGCGCCGCAGAGCAGAGAACGGACGGCGTTCACATGCCGCGCAATTAATCTGTAGACAAAACAAGCAAACGCTCTGAAGGTAGATTCAAGGATTTCCTGGGGAGAGGATTGATTGGATGAGAGTGACCCGTCAGGGAGGGGAGGCTGGTTGTGGCTGGAAGTGCAGGCGGGAGAGGACAAACATACTAGCAGGGTGCTGGAGGACTCTTAGTCATGCGCTCCAAGTTTAAACACACGGCCATGTAGTTGTTGTTGTTAGGCTTTCATAATGGTTTAATGTTATTTGTACAGGAACTCAGCGGTCTTAAATCTGATGTCACCACCACGTTTAATGTGTTTTTGTACTACCCTGCTATTCTGGCTCCTCGTGTATTGTAAGTTCATTACTAATCTGTGGCTTCACCCCATAATAAACCAGACTTATTATGTTTGTACTTTGCACCAGTAACATGACAGGAGAAGGCCCAAAGCATAGATACTGTGCAGGTACACAAAACTCTGAAATGCTTTCATATATTTTTTCTTAGATTTTTTTTGCTGAAATGATGATTTTTATCACAAACAATAAGATATTAAAACGTATACTGTAAATCCAGAGGCTGGAATAGATTTAATTTAAGATAGGAAGTGAAAGTTACGGATAAGAGAAGCAGATTTTGTGAACAGTGAATATTTGTACTGCGTATATATATTTATGTATTTGGGTTTAGGCTTGCTGGTGGGCCTTTCTGTATGGAGTCTGCACGTTCTCTCTGTCTGCTCCCTCCCACAGTCCGAACATTGTAGGTTAACTGGTGGTTCTAAATTGGCTGTAGGTGTGAGCTTACACGGTTCTCTGTCTCTTTGAGTTTGCCCTGAGAGGAAGTGGTGACTTGCCCGGTGTCAGCTGGGACAGGCTCCGGCCCCCTGCGACCCTCTGTAGGGTAAAGCAGGTGTAGCTAATGGACGGAGAGTGATGTTGAGATCATCACCAGTATTGATTTGATGTTAATGATACTCTATAACTCACATAAATGGATTACATCAGGGATGCAAGGTGGCGCAGTTGGTAGCACTGTTGCCTCGCAGCAAGAAGGTTACTGGTTTGTGTCCCAGTGGGGGCACTGGGATCTTTCTGTGTGGAGTTTGCATGTTTTCCCCGTGCAGCGTGGGTTCTCTCTGGGTTCTCTCTGGGTTCTCCAGCTTCCTCCCACAGTCCAAAAACATGTTGAGGTTAATTGGTGATTCTAAATTGTCCGAAGGTGTGAATGTGAGTGTGCTTGGTTGTCTGTCTCTAAGTGTAGCCCTGTGATAGACTGGTGACCTGTCCAGGGTGTCCCCTGGCTGGGATAGACTCCAGCCCCCTACGACCCTAGTGAGGATTAAGTGGTGTATAGATAATGGATGGATGGATGGATGGATAGATGGATGGATGGATTACATCATTATGAAGATGAGACATTAGACACTAAAAATTAACACACAGCTAAATATGTAGTCTTATGCAGCAGGACAAATAGATCCTTTACATCAACTATGGAGAACTGATCAGTACAGTTAATGTTTTTCAGATGTGTGATCTTGTTAATGATAAAGTTCTTGTGTGTTTGCCTATTCAGACGTCTAAAACTGAAGAAATGTGGTATTGCTTTTGTAAAAGACAAAAAGGTGTAAATAAAATATTTTACTGTTAGAGTACAATAATGTACTAACATCTAGAAAATCATCACTCGTTATCAACTGAGAATGTCAGGCTTTAAAATGACAGTTTTAAAAGACACCAGTAGATATCTATAACTAGTCTGAAGTCTGCCCACAATGATAACTTGTGGTAGAAAATGTTTTCCACAGAATGTAGCAGGTTTTGCTGTTTCTATAACTAAACTTTAGACATGGCTGAGCATTTCTGTTCCTGCCTGAACTGTAAAAAAAAATCTGTAAAAATACGGTGACAGTCTGGCAGCAAGTGTGCCAAAAGAAATATGTTAAAAAATAGTGAAATGCTGCAACGTTCGACTGTTAAGTGAAAATGTGTAACTTTTTGGTCACACATTGTAAATTAAGGAGTTTCTCTTGATAGATGATGATAAATTATAGATTTTTGATGTGGACATTTTTTTTAAAAACAATTATTATTTAAATTAAATCTGTTTTCCCGTGATTTCACAAGAGTATTGCTTGTGATATAACAAAATAGGGTAAATCTGTTAAATAGCAGTAAATAGCTTTTTTTATTTTTTTTTAAAGCACAGTTTAAACCTGTTAAAAATGTACATTTTTTTACAGTGTGGATGTATGCTGCCATTTTCTATGCCAGGCTCCAGCAGTTAATGTAGCATAGCTTGTAGAAATGTCCTAGCATTAGCTGTGGGTCCACGACATTTTAATGTACATTTTAAAGTATTGCATTACAAAAATTTAACAAAAACAGCAAAAATTGGAGAAAAACAAACAAACAAAAAAACAATTTTACAAAAAGGTTTTATGCTCATTTTAGGTGGTTTTTGATTCTTTGGAAAAACAGTTAACGTGTATAACAGAAGATAGAAACTCCTTTTCTGAATACGTTTTTATTGTGGAGTACATTAACTCACATAACAGCGAGAGTTTTTTTGTTGTATTTATTTGCCCCCAGGCAGCATGAAACATACCAGCAGTACCAGCTAGCAAAAAAAGAATCATTACAACTTTCCTGATTGTAAATAATTTCTAAACTCTCCGTTTGTCTCTCGTAGGTCCCCAAAGTTTTGTATGTTTTTCGTTTTCAAGATTTTTTTTTTTAGCAGATGACAAACAAGCGGTTTCATGTCTGACTTCTTCTACTCTGTTTATTACAGACATGCGTAACATTACAACAGCTTATGCTGCCACCTGCTGGTGACAATACACAGCTCCAAAACAGGCCACGAAGCAAACCAAATTCACATTTTACCTTTTTAATGTTTTTGCAACATTTCAAAAGCTGGCTTCAAACTTGCTTTACAGCTATAGAGACACAGGGGTACTCATGTGTTTTCTCAGTAAACACATGATGAAATAAATGAATTCATGACCATGTAAATGATGTACACTGTGAATTCAATATGTAGGGCATGTTTATGTTCTGTTATTATGATATACTGCCAGTTGTTTGATATAGTATAGCTCATTTTATAGTAAACATCACCTTCTGACAGCCTGAATATAAAGCAGGAAGTAGGCTGATGGGTACTTCTGCAGTAAACATCCACACTTCCATCGGGTCAGGTGCTGTTGACCTCTCTGTGTCCACTGAAGTGGAGACTTGACTGCTTGGCAGATTTTTTTTTTTTTCCGCTGCTGGACCTCCTTCACGTTTGCATCTGCTGCCCCCTCCCTGGGAGAGCCAAGTGCCACATCTGGTCGGGCTGAGTGTCGAGGGGGCGCGAGGCAGCTCCTCGAGGCGCAGCATTAGCATACACTTACTCTGGGAATGCCCTTGACGAGCTGTCTGCAGAAAGGGACGTGAGCAGCATCAGATAAACTAGCAGGAAACTGAGGAGAGGCAGGAGGAGATGGAGTGAAAAGAGGATGGAATTAAGAAAAATAAGTGTCACTAGGCAGCGGTGATGGCTGAACTGTAATCATATACAGTACGAATGCCTCATTACCAGTCTTCATTAATCACACCATCTCATGTTATTAGGCTTTCACAAGGGGGGGCTTTGTCTTGTTCCACGAGAAAAAAATATCCCCTGACATGCTCCATAAACCGAGAATAACTTTGGAGATGGTGTGTGGAAATGCACATCTAATAGTACCACCGACTGATATTTGTTTTCGTGGAGCAGAAGGTGTGAGTGGGTGGGGAAAATGTCAGAAAATAGTGAGCTGAGAGGTAGAGGGGATGTGTGCGTTTTGTCTGACAGACGAAGAGCAAGCGAGGGAGAGAGAGAGAGAAGTTGGAGGAGGGGGTTGGAGTAGGTGGGCGGGAAGAGAGGAGGCGAGTGTCACGGACAGACAGAGAGAGAGAGAGAGAGAGAGAGAGAGAGGGAGGGAGGGAAGGAATAGCGAGCTGCTGGCTTGCCGGAGCTGCTGCCTGGGTGTTCAAGTGTGTGATCGTGAGTGCTCCTCCAGCCGTCGTGTGAGAGAGAAAAAAGGGGACGTTGCTTTTTTAGCCACTCATTTTTATTTTGTTTTCCTTCTTCTCAAAGTGCCACATCAAGCTCCCCTCGGCAGCAGCGCAACTTGCCCGAAACCCCCTTCCTGGGATTGTGAAGAGGAGCCCGGGAAGACAGCGTGCTCCCAGGTAAGAGAAGATAACATGAAACAAAGCAGTACAGGTGGATATCAGTGATGGTGATGCAGAGAAATGGAAAGGGAGCTCTCGTTTGTGTTGCTGCTTTGACAGTAATGCATGGCTGGTTGAAGAGAACATGCTGTTTTTGATGTGTGCACATGTATGTGTGTGTGTGTATGTGTGTGTGTCAGCAAATATGGCTCGCAGGACACTGTAGTGTAACTGTGATTGGAGGAGTCAGGTCGTGTATTGGAGGAGATGGAAGATCAGGAGGAGGAGGTGCATTGATCGCATTCAGAGTGACACATGTCAGATTTGCAATGACAGGAATTACTGAAAAGAGAAACAAAAAAAACTGTTTTCCAAGAATACACCAATTTTGTGGAAAGAGTGGAGAGACTTTTTTTTTTTGTCTCGCTTTCTTGTGTTGTTTGCCCTCAAGTAGCGGAGTGTTGGAGATCGGAGTTGACGTTTCTACTACTCGGTTGTGTTCTTCTGGTCAAAATGTTAGTTGTGAGCAATCCGGTAGGTGTGCGTTTCTACGTGGCTCTACACCTGATGGGATCCGTGGAATTAGTGACAGGCAGGGATAAGCAGACTCCCACAAAGGGTTAGGCCGAGCTCCAGATCAGCGGCTGCTCCTCAGCGTGGCAACGGTGGCAGCAGTACAGTCAGAGGAGAGCGTTTTTTTTTTTGCCCTGAAGAAGAGAGAATAGAGAAACCAGTTGTATCACTGTGTCTAGCACTGTGGCTTCCTAACCCAGGGCTTGCTTTCTGTGTCATTTAATGAGAAGTTCTACTGTAATCGAATCACTGTGCTGCCTTCCCTGCTGTTTGTCATTTCCCCTTTGTCGTCCCTTATCTCTTCCTCTCTGTCTCTCTCTCTCTCTGGCCTCATTATCCCACATTCAACTGAAATGAACTAGTCGATCTCTCTTCCTTCCAATCCCTCCCTCCGTCCGTGCACGCCGAGGTACAGTGGACTATTAAACAAAGACAGACAAGAGGGCCAGAGGCTGAACAAAGCTTCTCTGTTCTTAGCAACATTTGCACTTATTTTTTTTTTTCTCCCTCTCCCATTTAGAAACATGAAAGAGGTGAAGGTTGATAGATTGTGGGGCTTCAAATAGTCCCTTTTCTATATGTCTTGCACTGGAACAAGCCAACACACAGTTCCAGTCTTTTCAGACGCAAAACCAATTCAGTCAGATTCCAGTTCCATTCTGACTCCATTTTCTCACCACCTTCCAACTCCTTTATTCTCCCATAAGGTTCAATGAATCTTATTCACCTCCACACTTCCTTTGTGGCTCATTGGAAAATGGATTTGTACGTCTCACTGTGAACCAAAAAGAGACCCGTCTCATATTCCTTCCATTGTTACCGTTAGATTTATTTGTGAAGTCATGAGCAATTTATAAAGATTAATTAATTCCCTTTGAGAACATTTTCAGCCCCATTTTTTGGAAATTACTGCACCCGCTGGGATCGTCATGTGACTCAACAACTGTGTGTGTGTGTCCATGTTGTGTGAAGTGTATCCAGCTGTGAGATCTCCCTTTGCATCAATAGTTAATGAACGTCTCAGGCACTCATTCACAGTGTTTCCGTTTATTTAACGGCTGGTGAGCCCTGAATGACATACTGTACTTTACTGTTGCGAATCTCACAGACGGCTCAGCCCGAGTCGGAGGAAGGCAACATGCCGACCTTCACACAACCTTGTACTGTCACTGTGGATGTTTGATGAAGTATTAAAGGGTGGCAACATTTGAGGGTAATGACTTGTCTCATAAATCTCATAAAACAGAACAAAGAACATAAAAGTGTGATAAAGGAGAGAGAAATTACGCTCTGTGATGCTACATTTTTGGAATAATCAATATGTTTCTGTATGTACATGCGTGTCCTGTTGGTGTGAGCAGGAGTTCTGATCGGATCACCCCATCCGTGGACATTGCAGCGTTCCTGCCCAAAGCGGCAGGCAGCTCCTTTCGGTCCACTGGATGCAGTCCGCTCTCTCCGTGACTCATTGCCTCATCCACTCTGATTGGCTGGCTTTTCTACTCCGGGGAAAGACAGGCTGGAGAGGGTTTGGCCTCTCATGAGCAGGGATCAGCCGTTCTTTTCACACAACATCCCACTGGATGCACACTCACAACGTGTCCGTCTGAATGGTAAAACACAGGGCTCGAAGCTGAGTGTAGAAATAACAGCAAACGCTTTTGATCGCGGAGAAGTCCTCTGTCATCTCTTTTGTGTCACACATTCAACCGGCTGCCTAAGACGATCACGCATCTGAGCAAAGTAAGCATTACTGAGCTCATGCTTTTGAGACGGACGATGTTCCATCCAGCTCTAATCGCAATCATGTTGTGTATTCATCTAAGGGATGTACTCAGGCTTCCAGCCCCACCGTCCCTTTGTAAATGACGCTGTCACATGTGACAGCTCTGAAGCAAACAGGGCGTGGAGCTCCCTGCCTGCTGAGGCTTGTTTGCCGCTTTACAGACGGTCCCAGCTGAGACGAGGTCCAAATCGCTCCACCCAGACAGCAACATTCTTCTGTTTTCTCTGTGGGAAGAGCCTCTACACTCAGGCCATGCAGCGCTCATTCAGCACCATGGACAGTGGTCCTGTGTAGGGACCAGAGGTGGCAACAAGCAGAGGAGGGTGAAATTTCAGCACCACCTCCTGTGGACAGCACCAGGCATCCACACACAGAGAAATGGAGCTTTAGGATTGATGGCAAAAACAAAGAGACATAATGCAAGCTCACGATATCAGAGCAGGGAAATTAGGCAGGATTAGACAAAACACTGCGGGGATTGACAGATTTTGCATTTTGGTTTCAGAAAGAACAGTCCGCAAGGAATCGGACCAGCAGTGTTTGAATATTTACTAGCCCTAATCTATTTGTGTTTATTAGCGAACGCTGCCTGTCAGTTAAGTCCACAGGCAACAGTGCTGAACAGCACTCAACCAGGTAGCCTGAATAAATAACTACAACCGTTCCTCATTGGCAAAGCTCACAAATGGCACATATACTTCTTTGTCACAGCACTGAAGCACTGAATCGTTGTTTGCTTGCAGTCAAGGATATTGTTAATGCTTTTCCCTGTAGCTTCATATCTTTATGTCCTTTTAATACTCAGTATACCCGAAGGAATGAAAAATGAAAGCGGCCTTGATTTCAGGTCATGAAAGTCAGTCGGTCCAATGTGAAATGAGGTATTGAAATCCAGCAATGGTGGTTCGTTATTGCTACATATAGAAAAGAGTTGCTTGGCGTTGCTTTGTGGTTTGACTTGGTTGAACAAAACTCTGATTTCAATCACCGTCCCTGGTGTCCAAGTGGTGACAATCCTGCTTCACGATATATTAGAAATAAATCCAAAGAACTAGTAGTTAAATCATGTGAGCTCGGGGTTAGCTGTTTACTGTTTAATGTATATATAGTTGCAGTAAAAACAAAAGTCTTGGCATCAAAAGTCAAAGTTTACAATGACACAAACTCCAACACCTTATTTATGTTTTACACGTTTAATAAAAAGAGAACTTTTTAACATTAATCTTTCAGTGTTGATTGGCTGTTACTCTTGACGTGTAACCAATCAGATAGTCCTGTGGGCGGGGCATTGCTGGTGACTACAGATAGAGGCAGCTGCATCAGAGTGAAAGTATTTTGTAATTAATTTGAAATTGCTGAATATTGGATCTGATAGTCAGTTGATCCCTTATATAAACACACAAACTCTAAAACTTCTCTGAGAAATAGCAACAGTTAAGAAAACCTTTCGGTCTGTTTCTGTTGTTATTACATTGACAGTGTGTAATAAAAAGCATTTTTTATATACAGCTGCTATGTTTTTCATCTAGGCTCTGTCAGTCCTCTCCTAACTGTAGATTCAGCAACAGCTTATTGATGATATTGCAGATTTCTGTATGCGCTGTCAACCACAAACCCTGACAGCTTTTTCTTTAGCCTTATATCTCCCTGGCTTACGGTTAGTGTATCATACCCAAGACGAACACCGTCTACCATTGCCACATGCTTCAGTTCTCTCTACAAACAGTCGAGAATAATGTGCTTTGGCTGTAATAAATGGGACGCATTAGTCGGTTATGGCTTCATCATTATTGATTTTAATGCATGCTTTTGCTATGTACATACGTGCAAAGCATTTCAAAATCACAGCTCTGTGAGTTAAGTTTATTATATAGTCTGACGTTAATTACACTCTTTGATCCGATGACATTATAACTAAGGTTGCATATGTTCTATAGCTGGTTGCAATTCACTCACTTTCATGAATTAATTAGATGTGTTTTACATTGCATGTGTGATAGCAGCGAACACAGTAAAGGGCGTGAAATCAGACATGAAAACGAGTTATTTCTGTTCGATGAAAGCTTACTGTAGTCTGCTAATCTCTGGTGATGGAAGTGTTGGACTGAGCCACGCAGAACCTTCTTAGCTGCACTGATACACTGGAGAAAGTAGAAGGATAAGAGCCTCTTGTCTTCATGCCTTTACTCTCGTACACTCCCACACACACACACACATATATATATATATATGCATACATGGGCTCAGCATGAGATTGATTTTGTGCCCTGCTATGTACCCTCCAAGAACACAGGATAGTCGGCGCCCCCCGACAGAAACATAAAAGAAGCACAAGACTTGTCCTAAGGCTTCTTTTATCACCAGTGAACACCAAACCACCCGTCACTCCTCTCCTTTCCCCTCCCTGTCTTCTGAACCCTCATACACATGTCCCCTAATTGAGAAAGCTAATAACTAACCAGGGTCATTTGTATATGTATTCATTAGCATAATTGAATAGGCATGAGTTAAGTGTTTTCCACTGGTGTGTTAATAACGGAGTCCAGAAACATTTGCACCACTGCGTCTGTATGGCTCATGGGCTACTTGCCACCTTGCTCCCTTTCCTTGCCAACAGCAGTGCCATAAAGTCGAACTCTGGTCATTTTTTTTGTCTCCC